TCTCGTCGTGCTGCTGATCGAGGAAGACCAAGATCGGCTCGTATGACTGATCACGACAGTACATTTTAAAGACTGTCGGCGACGATTCAAGTATAAGCACATGTCAAGTGGCTCTAGCATGACGTACATCTCACAGTACTACATAGAGGATACTTCAAAAAGAACTCCGATATCCGTATCATTTGTAACGTGTGCAGGGTCTTTCGCACTCTGATGACGAACTACGGGTGATCTTTTACCGTTTCTTTATTGCACAAACCGCCGATCTCTTGTTTCTTTCCTCAGTCTTGTTTACGGATGAGGAAACGTTTGGAAGTGATGGAATAACGAATTTACACGACAAACATTTGTGGGAAAGATTGGAATCCCCATGGCACAATACAAGCTAGTAACTAGAATCTGTTTACGATTAATGTGTGGACTGAAATTGTAGGTGATTGTCTCAATGGTCGATATGTTCTTACAGTACGTCTTACGGAACATTATTTTAAACACACTTCGTGACCTGCCAGAAGATGTACGCCTGCTAATACAGAGACGGATTTATTCAAAAAAAAAACTAGACATTTCATAAAAAGGTTAAGATGGGAACTATTTTACTTTCTTCACAATTATAACAATGGCTGTAGTAGTGTAAAGGGACTTATAGTAACAATTTAATATGATCTATAAGTCTAGAATGAGATTGTCTAAACCATCTGATCCAGGATAGCTAAATAGACCCCAAAACATACTTATCATTAATCCTCTAATAACTAGATTAAAAAAAGACCTAACTGAACGGAACTGCTGGTAATTAGAAAACACTAATTGCCATATGAAGTGAACAAAAAAATGGTCCGTTTACGTGTTGTGATTAAGTTCAGTTGGATCGCTTGATACTGCTCGACGCCATCTCAATGATCTCAGCTCGGTTTATAAATTGTTAATTGAAAGAATATATATTTTTTCAATTAACAATTTGAAAACTAAACCAGCAAAGCGTAAGATATTAAGCTACGCAATTTGCTACAAACGACAACGAACTGACCATGCTATGACGTGTATCAGGAAACTAACTGCTGAAAAAGTTATACGTGTATGACAATAGTGTAAAGCTAAAACGTTACCTTCGGCCAAGCTATGGATTAATTACTAAGACTTGTATCATTATATCACGCTTATCTTTAAAAAAAAGATTCTTACAATTTAAAATTATATTCTGGCTTTAAATCGCTTACAAAAGGGTGATAAGCTGTAGAAAATAGATCAACCGTATTATTTAAATAAATTTCAATCTGCACTAATGTTAAATGTTCGGTCTATGAAGCATCCATTTAGTCATGTCTACAGCCAAGAAATGATAGATAAATATAAATATTAACATTTATGAGGTTAATCATAATACATTGAATGAAAAGAGTTCGGCGTGATCTTTGCATATAAATAAATGTCCAAATATATTGGTTGGTTGATTTTATTACATGCTACCCCTTATTTAATGTCGAATTTTATAATGGGCACCCAGGGAGTATCACACTCGCAACTCGTTTTTAATATTCAACAAAATATCCTCGTTAGCCATCACGCTAAGCCGGGTCACCATTAATCAATGGATGAAAACCAGTAATTAGACATATTGTTTTTTTGTTTTTGTATATGGATGGGAACCAATTTTTGTTGCTTATTATAGTCATCTGAATTTGATCTGACTTTTTCAGTGTATAATTTTCCATTTCTATACGTTTGCTTCAAGGCATTTACAATGATGAATATTATTTTTTGCTGCTTGTGCGTGATACATAAAATCATTCATACTTATTTTATCAACGTGTCCACAATGAACTAATTTGGTGAATAGTATTAATGTCTGAAATTAAACAAAGCAAAACCTAAAATATAACCAATCCAATTATTACAAAATTCACTGACTCTGAAGAGAAAAATATATGCAGATATTTTAAGAAAATTTTATTCTCAAATGATCAAAATTTAAATATTAATTCGTATTCTTTAATTGAATTTTGCTGAATTTATTTCATGTGCATTATTCCGTTTCTATTCTTGCTTTTTCAATATATATATATATATATATATATATATATATATATATATATATATATATATATTTCCATTTATATATATATATATTATTCAGATTCTCAGAAGGATGTTAATATTAATATATCGATGGACATACTCAGAAAATTACGATTCGATGATAGCCATATTTAGTCGTTATATTTTTAAAAAAGTTAAAACTGCCCTTAATTTTTCAAAGTGTGACATTGGAATAGAAATAATCTTTACAGATAGGAAAAATAATTAGAACCAAATCTGTCCATATTAGAACGAAAGGACATTTAATATTATTTATTCCCTTTCCCAGGAGACGATTTCAATAAATTATAAATGCAAATTTTGGATCAATTATTATGATTTTACACGGAGACTTTCTGTTTGGGCTTTTCTTATAGAATGCAAATATGTTAACTCTGATTTCTTTAAGTCTTCCGTCCGTTCTTTTTTCGGAAGATAATCTCAATTACTGATCGCTATTATTACGTGATATTGAATATTTATGAAAATTGAAAGTTAATCAGTTTTAAGGACCTGCTCCTAATAGCAAATATTTGCACAGCTTCTATGGATTTGCTTTAGGAACTTGAAAAAATAAGTTTGATTTTTATGGAAATGTCCAAATAACTCTATTCAAATTTAACATTAACGAAAGTGTTCAGTCAAAAATCTCTGACCATTTTGCTTCACGCAATATCTTCACTAAAAAAAACACACATTAATCTGTGCATTTGCTAGGATCTCGGAGAATAATCTATTGACGGAACTAGATGTTCGGAAAGAGAGGAAGAGTAAAACATGACTGGCGAGGGTATCATAAGACAGTACAGGTTATCGTCGACTTACGACCTATGCGACTTATAAGTATCCAACTTCACGACAACGACCACGACTTGGTATGTCTGACCGTCTGGTCACGACATAACACAAGCAAGCAGCAGCAGCATCTTTTGTATTTCTCTGATTTTCGCTGTTTTGTAACTAAAGTATTTTTCTGTTTTGGCACCTGTATTCTCATTTTTTGAATGATTAGTAGATATTAAAGCAACTTTACTTTAGTATGCCGTGTTTGACTTTAACCCGATGACTGTAAAAATAAGAAACAGGACAATGTGTAGATAGATGATATAAATGGCATCAAGCAAAAATTAAAAAAAAGTAATAAAAAATAAAAAAAAAGAAAATTCAATAATGCCTAAACAAAGATAGACAGATTGCAAACTTAATTACAGGCCGACTTTCAACCAGATTGATGTATGAACTGTCGGTCGTAACCAATTGTGATCGTAAGTTTAAGAAATGTGTCTATACGTGAAAAAAAAAATCAAAGGCGGTGAAAATTTCCAATAGACATTTAGTATTATGTGTTCGGATATTCCAACCAGCTTGTTTGTCATAAGCGACACAAAAGTCAATAAATCGAATGAATATTAAGTAACACACACACACACACACACACACATATATATATATATATATATATATATATATATATATATATATATATATATATATATATTGTGTGTGTGTATTTAGGGCAGCATCTTTTTCATTCATACACGTTTCATTAAATAATATAGACAATTGTTGTCTATTTATTTTATGTAAATTTTTTTCGTAACATCTGATAAGTTTAATAACATTATCGTTGAACGAAGAAAGAAGTTCACAATATTGATCCATATTTTTTTAATATAATCTAAGCTTTCGGCTTACTTAAGCCATTATCAAAGATGCCAATTACTACATATTAAGCAATATACGGACAAGACAGTGATGATAGTCTGTCAATGTTTACAGAGATGATCTCTAAGCAACGCTAAACACGCGCATATAAGACGCTAGAAGCGAAAATCGCACCGCATCTCATGACGTCACACATGACCACACCACATATATATAATCTAAGGTTTTTGTGTACTATTTGAATTGTTTGCGAGATGGATGTCTCGCCATTTAAAATCATTAACCTTTGCATTAGTTTTGTGTGAATAATTCATGTATTTGTAAATTGATTGCACGTTTATTGTAATATATATATATATATATATATATATATATATATATATATATATATATATATATTCAGACATGTTTCGTTAAATAATTTAGACACGTTCTGTCTATTAATTTTCAATAAGATCCTTTCATATTCGCGAATAAGCTTTTTTTTGTGCGGTTCTTAAAAGACGAGTTCGTGACTCCATATATAAAAATGGTAATCTTCGGATAACCACAACAATTTTTGTCTTTCACAACCATGAACACTAAATACTTACTCTATATTTAACAATACCCTGATGATGACATTTTACAATGTGAAATGTACTCAGAAGAAATACAATATGATCCAACACGGTGTTTCCCTCTCGTCTTTTTAAATCTCCACAGCCGATTCCACGGCTAAGCACCATAGAAGAAAGTTAATCCTCTGTGTGTGGTGGGATTGTCTTATTCATTAACAACACTTAAAACACAATAAAAAAAAACTAAATGCACTTATATCATCAGCCAGCAGCTACACCACGTTCGAAAGTTTTACTCGAACAAATCCCTAAGCTCATCAACACAAAGCACGTAGAGCATGAATAACATACGGAGTCATTTATAAATTGGTTGCTCAGCTCTATCTCAGCCGCCATATTCACCTGACCTTCTGCCAACCAGTTATTAACTTTTTTCGATTGCTGCGAAAGGATTTTTGCGGGGAATCTTTCACATTGAAATCTGCGGATTTTTTTTGAAAATGATAATGATTCAGTGATTTTTTGAAAATGATAATGATTCAGTGATAAGTTTCACTAATTAACCCATATCAGGGAGGAGAAGAAGTGGATTCATACTTTTCTCAAGGGTATCTGCTCGTTAGTAAATTTAACGAAACCGACTCTCCGATTAACAATTTCAAGCCATTATCCATTACATCAACCGCACATTCATACTTACAGCTCTTGGTATTCCCAAACGTTCATTCATCTAAGTACTGACTATGCTCGATGTGGCTTAACTTGGACGATCGTACGGGAACCGCTGTATTTCAACGTGATAGTAAGCATAAAAGAAAACAATAAAAAAAAATCAACTTATTTAGCGTCATCATGAAACTTTGAGAGGTAATTTTGCTCGCGGAGGAATTTTTAGTTTTCGGATTTGCGAAAGTATACGAGATTTTGTAAGTGATTTTACGCGTGTGTGTCTGCAACGTGTTTTTGCTTTATTAATACGGCCCGGAAAATTGCAGATATGTCAATACGCAGTCGCCCTCGCCCTTCTTTTCCCTGAGGAATGGCTTCTTCACAGATTAACCTCAAGACGAACAAATCAGCGCGCCTTCCTTCTTGCCAGCAGGACATAAATCGCCCAAGTAAGTTCGAATAGCAAATCCTAGTCTAGGTAAAGCCGCCGCATCTGCGACAGTTTGTCATCATCTCTGACATTGTACAGAAAATGTCGGTCGGTGGCGCTGGGCGACAGGTTAACTTCTCTTTACTGACTTGCCTGCCTCTCGAGAAAATTGTATAGTATACAAAAGAATACGCAGACTATTTGTGTCTGTATATGTCGTCAGAATTTCTGAATCCCTGTCAATAAAAAAAAAGTGTCTACTTATATAGGAAAGAACAAAATCAAATTAATAAGATTCGTCAGAGAATCAGAGAGGAAAAAAAATCCCCTGATAATACAAACGTTTTCTTCATTTTTGTATGCTGCGAATAGGTATATCTGCAGCAATCCTTTTCTATAGATTTATATTGATTTTTCTAGATTGATGCTTCTTTGAAAAGTGGTTTTATTTACTTATTTCATAAGTACAAAAAATGATCCCATCATATTACTGAAAGGACTTCGAATCGAGAAATGTCCTGACAGGAGAAATCTCAAGAGGGGAAATGTTTATTGTTTATTACCAAAACGAAAACTTAAAAAGAAAATATTTTACTATCATAGTATTCATATTAAAGAATTCAATTTGGAATATGTATAGTTGTTGGACTTCTGTAAATTTATCGCGTGTGTGTGAGTCGAACCATTCAGCTCTGTTAGCATTTTATGAAATACATCGGTTTGCTGCTTTGGCACAAATAACCAGTGATGTTTCTAGCCACGGATTCTTAAGGATTCGCTTCTTATAACCATGCCTCTTCTCCATGTTGACCCAGTAGATACTAAACGGATATTACCAGCTACAACTATTCTCATAGTAGTGATTTTCCAAGCGTAGCTTGGATGTGGCACAAGGCTGAAAGTAAGGGGGCACCGAGTGAGGATCGAACTCACTACTCACTCGTAATTGTCCTAGCGAGATAAGCTTGCTAACCATTACACCACCTCGATTTGCCCCAAAATATAAGGATTTTCCAAGCGTAGCTTAGATGTGGCACAAGGCCGAATGTATGGGGCACCCAGGGTGGATCGAACTCACTACTCAGTCGTAATTGTCCCAGACGAGACGAGCTTGCTAACCATTGCACCACATTGAGGTGTCCAACTATTCTCTTAGTATATGGCTTACTTAGACCACCGCGACTGCTTTTTCGCTTATCCGTAAAAAAGGAGGCATATGTATTGACTGATTTTTTTCGCAATTATATCGACACTCACAACTTGAAATGTTTCAGTAACGATCTTTTCGTTTGACTCATTCATATAAAAACCCGACACTACCCAATAATTTACTACTTCGTCCTATTTTGTATCTCATTCATACAAATCATTTAAAAAGGACTCAGATAAAAAAGAAGTTCAGAACGTTCATGAGGGAGCAAAAATGCTAGATCGTAACCAACGATCACTAGTAGGCATCGATGGTTGATGGTACCCTAATTCTAACCCCTAGTCGAAACCCCATTGTCGGATGTAATTTTAGGTTATACACAACATCCACTTTCTAGTACGCTAAAAAATCTCAACACTAAATATTAACCACAATATCTCCGCTCCTATCAATTGCTTGATCTTTATGCCATAACCACCTAGAGGTTTCTTCTGTTGCCATTGCTCTTGTGCAAACAGTATTGTATTTTTTGAAGCCAGTTACTCCTAATTTTGACAACATCTTGCAAAGTAACCGCCCGTTTCGTGTTTCAATCGGTTCGTACTGAACACTCCAACGCCAACATTTACATTCCTCTCCAATTTGGAAACATTTCTCAAGAATTCATTCATATGATTCGTACATGTACTCTTCCCAAGAGACGATTGATTCTTACATGATGAAATGCATGATTTTTAACCGAATAAATAATCACGTCCTGTCGTAGCTTCACCTGTGTTATCTGAACTGGGAATTTCACCTGACTGCCTAGATTTATTTTCATTTGCCAGTCAGGGGCAGAATTGAAAACTGACTTTTTCTTGATCAATATTGTATTTATCTGTTGATCAGTTCCGACGACATTAATCAACTTTTTATTAGCCTCGTCTGTATTCATTTGGAGACTCCTCGAGGCTATTGTTACTATGGCTCGCAATAATCTATCATGGCGCCCCTCAATCAATGCCTTATAGCAATCATTAAATACATGTTGGAGGGTTCTTTTTTTCAGACATAACGGACTAAGTCTGGACTCAATCTCTTACCATGTGTAGAGGTTGGCTGGACTAGGTAATGTGTTACGTTTATAGCTGAATGTTTTATCTCCAATTTATTGCCGATCACCTGTAAAGCTGAGTAAAATTGGAAGAAGAAGGATATAAGTGTTATAGTATACCCATAGACGATTATGTCCCCATTAACATAAATACAATAGTAAATAATATAGGTTGGTCTGCAGTTGGAGATTTGATTCCAGCTGTGCTGGTCCGGACAGAGAGGATCCCAAGACGAGGCTATGTCAAAGGGCAGAGTCTCGTCTCGAGAAACAGTTACCCGACCTCGTTTTATATGGGGTATACGGGCTCGGATACCCCACATTAAACTCGGCCTTGCGACACATTTGACCACGTGTGGCGCTTGGTAGATATCCTGCATTTTGAGATTTGTCTCCACCTGTGCTGGACAAACTCTTCTGCCTCCGAGCATAGAGGATCCCCAGAAGAGGCTATGTCGAGGGGCACATTATAGTCTCGGGAAACAGCTACCAAACCCCATTGTATACGGCGTCTACGGGGAATTTTTTGCCGAGCCTACGGGCTCTGATACTCCACATTAAATTCGGCCACGTGCCACATCTAACCGCGTGGGGAGGTTGGTATATATCCTGCAGTTGGAGATTCATTGTGGAATTCAATGATTCACTTCTAGCAGTTGGCTACTACTACTACGCGACGCTGGTGAATCTTATATGTGTTGTTCTTGTCCTAAGTATTATCGTTCATTACCAACCTTCGTGTGATTATTTCATCCAGTAGGATACAGGTTACAACAGTTAGAATTACAACGGCTAAGTTATAACAATTAGAATAGATAATTTTGTCCATTCTTTTATCAAAACAATATGAATAATACATGAGGCAAAATAGTGAAAACTTGATCAAGAAAAGTACAAGCAAGACTGGCACGAGGAAAGATGTGGAGGGAAAGAATTTTGGATCCATTTTGAATCACACATTATCTTCAATGGAAAAAAGAAAGAAACATAACTCCACGTGCATTTAAGAAGAAAAAGGGAATTGCATTTGCGAAAACTTGATCCTGATTACGGAGATAACATAGTATAGCGATTTAAATGACCTAGAAGTGTAAGAATAATTATTTAATTGGGTATTATAGCTGATTGCACATGGAGGCGACACTCCCATCTATCTCGGATGAATGTAAACAGAAATATTTCAGGCTGGGATATATGGACAAGGAGCTAAGATTAATGACTTTTCCTAATTAACCTGGTCGGAAGGAGGAGATCAGCAAACATAGAAGAGAAATCGTTTGACCAGCTCGTTGCAACTATCCCGTGTCAGTTTTATTGACAGTGAATTTAATCTGATATTCTTCCCTTTTCCTATTTTTCCAAAGTCAAAATCGCCGTTCCATTCCGATATTGAAGCATAAAAATAAGTCGTTCGTGACTTTTTTGATAATGGGATCACGTTTCGATCAAGACACTTTTTTTCTGAACAGAGCCACATCGATCAGCCCAAACACATAAAACATGAAACCGAATCCCTATCAAATAAGAATACAAACCAAAAGCAAACACTTTAGATGTATCAGCTACGTAGTGGGTGACAGAAAGAAAGCAATCATTTCTATAAGTAAATGTAGCAGGTTTGCTCAAAGAGATTACAAATTAGGCATTATTTAGTTATAAATTTGACCCATTAGGATTGTGCAAATAGTTATCTGTAGCAAAGATTCGAAAATTCACAGAGCCCCAAGTCTAGATAGACGCAAATCAACTCTTGCTCGATCGGCTTTCCTCCACTCACCACTTGTTTACTGTCACTGGCTTCATATACGTTCGATAGCAGGTATGAGAATCCGTAGGCAGCACATCCAGCCAATTCGATCAACGGTTTTCCTTTATAAACGACGGATGAATCTTACCTGGTCTTTCTTCGTATCATTGAGACATGGGCATCATCAGTCGAACGCCCACAGCCTTTTTGAAGGGAGGCGGATTTTTTTTCTGTTACCTTATGGTATTGTGCAGGAGGTAATAAAATAAATCTCGACGTTCCAAAAAGCAACAGCTGCATATTCAACAAAACCGTTGAACTTTTTGGGACACAATATAGAGAGAGAAGTCTTAGAGAATTCATAGCGAGCATTGAATGCAAATAATCTTGGGGAAAACAAAGAATAATCTGACTGTTTACATTGCCATATTCACGACGTCTCGACCGTTCTCCGCTCAGGCTTTTTCAAGTTGTATTAGTTGTCCATAAGAACATAAACCTCCGTGGATAAAAGTATTGGTTGCGTCATCCATAAGTGATTTGAGCAAAAGAGATGTGAGTTCAATACCTGGCCACTGCCGAGGGAACAATATGTTGAGTTACAAGAGGAGTTAACTGAAACTAAAATATCCAATTCATGGCACGTGGAATTAGAAAAATCTACCCCGGGGATAAAGGGTTCGATTCGAAATTGTTATG